TATAACAGCGAGCAGATTATTATTGGAATGAGCAGAGCACTTTGGACTAATGCCTCTGACCATTTACAGCTTAGAGGTACATATCCAATATTTTGTCAAAAACTTCTCTGTTACATAGCAGATCATAATGACCACTAGTGGGGGTCTTCACGCTTCGTTAAAAATTGAAAAATCTCAATATTTTAGACGAAATCTTGAGATCTTATGAGACAATATTGAGATTTTTTATGACAATCTCTAGATCTTTCAGAAAATCTTAAGATGAAAAGAAAAGGTCTCAAGATCTTTCCAAATGTTTTCAAAGTATCTTGAGATTTTTCCATAGCATCTCGAGATGCTTTAAGAAATATCAAGATTTTTAAAGCAATCTTGAAAAAACGTGAGATCTTTTAAACAATTTTGATATTTTTTAAAGCACCTCGAGATACTTTGGAAAAATCTCAAGATACTTTGAAAACATTTGGAAAGATCTTGAGACCTTTTGTTTTCATCTCAAGATTTTCTGAAAGATCTGGAGATTGTCATAAAAAATCTCAATATTGTCTCATAAGATCTCAAGATTTCGTCTAAAATATTGAGATTTTTCCATTTTTAACGAAGCGTGAAGACCCCCACTGGGGGTCATTATGATCCGCTATGTAACAGAGAAGTTTTTGACAAAATATTGGATATGTACCTCTAAGCTGTAAATGGTCAGAGGCATTAGTCCAAAGTGCTCTGCTCATTCCAATAATAATCTGCTCGCTGTTTTTTAAGTAATTTGGGAACAAAAAAATGGAATGAAAAGATTTGCAATATGTTCAGACATGCTCAGTCTGATATGTTTTGCAAAAAACCTGATGATGATTGGAAATTTCTCTTTTCTAGAGCGCATTTATCAATATGTTGTACACGTTATGTAAAATTCATAAATAAACACATTGCAATTAACTTATCTCCCTGTACTAAAAAGGATGGTGATAGAACTGGCCATTTTGCATGTTATGCAAGGTACATCCATATATGACACAAAACATGTGTTTTTATGTTGCTTCTCCTTTGGGTTAATATGGCTGATGGCTTACAGTTACCTGTCTTTTTTGTCCGAGAAAATGTGTAGTGTCCGTTGCTCGGTAATAACTTAAAATAGAAAAGCTGTGGGTGCATATGATTTCAGGTTTTGAAACAGCTGAAGATGCTGACTTAAAACACAGTAGCTATTTCAGTCTATTGCTGTAATTATATGAAATAATGTCAAAAAACCTCAAGGGTGTAGTGTCCGTTGCCATGTAGTGTCCGTTGCCAAGTATACCATATAGGTACATTAATTACATTTTGTTGCAATTTTGAAGTAATTTTGTCATTTATGTTATTTCTGTAGCATTTTGTCAACTCCTAAATGACAGGTCTTGCAAGATTTGGTGTTCTTGTCATGTACTTGAGCAGCCAGATGTGGCCGGCAACGGACACTACAGCTTAGCTGTAGTGTCCGTTGCCGGCCACATTTGAAATGAGTGGGCTAAGTTTGGAAGAGCACAACTTTTGAACTGAACGTCTCTATCCAAAAATTTAAAAAGTGCAATGTATGGCAACACCTCTAGTGCGATTTTCTGCACTGAAAGTAGAAAAATATAAAACTTGAAAAATTGGCCCAAGTGCAACCCTTTGGCGCACCCTGATCTCGGAATAGCCGTTAACTCAAAACACAGTCATATACATGTATATGGTGACCTGAGTCCCTCCACTACAATGTATGGCCTACCATTTGCTACATAATGTAACCCAACACCACAGGGTCAGTGTCTGCTACAGCACCAGTTACCATGGTAACAGCCGTCTGGTCCAGGTCATTGACCCTATGTGTTTGGAAAAGAGGAAGAGGAAGAAACAGCAAAAAACAATGCAAAGGAAACATAAGAAAACCTTATTGTTGCAATATTATGAACAGTTTGGAGAAACTCAGTGAACTGTAACAGTTCGTGTATATTGGAGCATGAAATCTCTTTCAGAAATCAGTTACCTTTATGGCATGTGGACAACAAGATGACTTACTGTTAACGACTGTTCTTCTCTCTTATAGGTACTTTATCGTCTTATCGTTCCACGTTGCTGTCGGGAGTCTATACACCGGGCTCCTAAACGCTGGATATCTTCACCATTACTACGTGCCGTTCAGCGGCACTGGGGTATTCTCCTACCTGTTCCCGGTGGCGTTCTACAAGCTCATAGCGGGCCAAACGACCGGGTTTCTGGTCTTCATGTTAGTCATGACCTACGTCGCCTTCGGTATGAGTATCATGACGGGAACCCTGTTCGGCTGGCACATGCTCAACGCCTACAACGGACAGACATCGTGGGAGTCCCATAATGAGATACGGACCTACGACCAGGGACCGGCAAAAAATCTTTATGAAATTTTCGGAAGTTTCTGGGTTCTGAGTTTCCTGATACCTCGGCAGACCGCACTGCCCGGTGATGGTATAGATTGGCGACGACCGAAACCTCTGAAATCCTTGTAATTCTTAACTCTGGCATTTCTGTTTTTCTGTTGGTTGCTTTGAGATTATTTTACGTACTTAAGTTAATATCAGAGAATTTTATGTAGCAATGTGTTTTTATACCATCCTCGAGTTGTTTGTTAGATTGCATTTGTATTTGTTTAAATTCCTTTGTTCACTTCTGCAGTGCCCAATCGGGCATGTAGATACAGCATTATTTCATGTTTGTACATATTTTATACATTTATAAACATATAATTGTTCCATATCAGGTCTACACACCACGTGCAAGATGAATGTGTGAGCAAATGAATGAGCTGATGAATGAGCGAAAGAATGAATGAGTAAATGAATATGTGAGTGAATGTGTGAGTGTGTGAGTGAGAGTGAGTGAGTGAGTGAATTTTTGGTCTTAGAGAGGATCACGATTTAAGAGAAGTTGTGTTGATCTTGAAGGAAAATGGCTTTATTTTTACCACTCAACATCAATAATGTATTAATGCATATGTATGAAATTTAAATGTAATGTAACTCATCAGAGAATAGTCATTGGTAACCTATGTGCATAAGCTAAATAAACATGCCACTAAAATTCATTACATTTAATATTACATTTAGACATCATTGAATAGGACTGAAGGCATCTGTCGTTCTGTAACACGACATGAAATGTTTTTTTTATTGGAATAAAAAGAAATGGCTACTACATTGCTAAATGTTTAATGTTTAAAGACCTTTTCAAAATACAAACTGTACAAGCCAACTATACATGTTTCACGGTCAGTATCCCTTGACAATCTTAGTGTGGGTCCAGTCAATGCCGTTCCCTGGTAGCTTTGTCCACATCGGAAAGACAAAATTCAGCAGCCAGTAGGGTCCAAAGACTTCTCGTAGATTCTGGGTTCGCCGGAAGTTGTATCTCCTGCAACATTTTGTAAACCACTGTGTTAGGAGAGTGTAAGAATACATGTGTATAGCAGCTGTAATATGAATGAATGTTATTTCATGGTGTCTGAATCTGCAGTGCTGTTATCCAGTAGATATTGTATCCCGACGATGTGAAATATGTAGTGTATCCGGAAAATAAATTACTCTCTTTGGTCACAATTCTTTTCTGGTCATAGCTGATTTAGATACATATATCACTGGACGTAGAGATTGCAAGCTTGCGGAATTGCTGATTCTATCGGTAAAGATCCCGATCATAGTCTCTGTCATCAGACTCGAGTACCGTTAGAATCGGCGGTTCTGGTGGCAAACTTAACGATACTCAGATAACAGTAAGTGAGTCACAACGTTTCAACTGTCACTTTAGATCAATGGCTTGACTTGGAATCTAGGATTTATAAATGGTAGACCAATGTAAAACATTCCATGTCACCCCCTTTTGCCGACAGAGACTCCTATCTAGTCTAAAATCCAAAATGTTAGCTATAGCTCCGTTTGGGAAAGGGACAGATATTTACACGGTATTTACAAAAGTTTTCTTAAGGACGTACTTGATGTCCTTGACGGCCTCGTACGACGTCTGCCCGTCCCTGATGATCATCATCTGCCAGCCGAACAGCCCTCCGCACCCGATACAAGCTACCACACACACGTACATCTCCAGTATCACCAGGGCTGTGAAGGTCGGCATGGAACCTACGTACCTACAACACGACAGATGTAGACTCCTTTGCAGGCGGAATAGATACTTGTAGTAGAAATCGGCCTAAAAATTGGAGTTAGCCGGCCATAGGGGGTCCAAATTTGCAGGCAAACTGGACCCTCCATGACCGGCTAACTCCCCTGGCCAGTTATATTCCTTTTTAGGCCGTTTTAGCCGGGATTCGAACTCCCAACCTCTGGACTACGCACGCTACGGGGACTACGCACGCTACGCAAAAATGATAAAGATATTTCAAGTTTTGAAATGATAAAAGTATTTAAACTTTTGAATATGTCAACTCTTTGTTTAACTTACAAGTTAGAAAAAGATTGTAAGTTTCGTTTTGTACTAGGTATACATAAAAAACACTATTAGTGTATGGCCAACTTATATACTGACGGGCGTTGTAACGTTGAGAAAAGTGGCGGAACTTCAGTAACTGTTGTGATATGTCAAAGACACCCTGACATTAACTCACCATTCATAGACCATGACAGGGAAGATATAAGACAACAACCTCTCCATAGTGGGACCGTTTAGTATCTCTAGATACTGCAGCAGCAACCCCAGCACGTGGAGAGCACTCAGACACGTGTACAGGTTGAACAGAACAAAACGTCGCTGGTTGAAGTATCTGAAGAACAAAAAAAGTGGTACAAAAATTGCAACTTTATTTTCGGTTCACTGAAGAAGAAAGCGTCCACACAATCAATACAGATGTCAATATACATAGCGTTTACTGACTCAGAAAATATGCTGCACAAACGAAACTAGATGGACCTTCCAACATATCAAAAATCACCACAATTTATTCGTACCTTTTTGAGTTGTGCTTTCAAAAGCGAGTCGGAAACACAAACACTACCCAAATTACAAGACCTGTCCGCATTAAAGACATCATTGCAATACATATATAGCTTCTTAATCATAAAACAGGTAACATTATGTCGGCCAAAGTATGCAAAGAGGCCAATAAACTAGGGGATAGCTATGGGGCTATAAGCTTGGTAGCAACAACGGTCTTTAGTCTCTAACAGGCTTCAGAGGCGGCTGGAAAGAGTGGGAATTTGCCAGACAGATAACATGCCAGGGGAGTACGGTTATACCCCCGTCACATTGCGCGTAAATCAATCGGTCGACTAGTCGGCGATCTCTAAACGACATTTACGGCCGTAGTAGGCCCGATGTTCCGTCGAGCATCGCGCGAATTTTCGGGATCGCCGGCGATTTTTTGGAGTCGGCCGAAGCTCGCTGACACGCGAAACGTGTTCTTAACATCAGCGACTAGTCGCCGGCGATTTTTGAGGTCGCAGAGCTCGTTTCCAGCTCGCGCGTAGCTCGGACGTAGCTCGCCCCTGTGCGGCCGAGAGTCGACCGATATTCGGACGTACATCCCACGAGTCTCGGCCGTATTTCGTCTTTGAAAATCGGGCGACGGTCGCTGAATACGGTCGACCCTCGCGCGAGCTTCGCGAAATGTTCGGACGACCCTCTTTCGTACCTCGCCCGACTTGCGCAAAGTTTTTAAAATCGTGCGTGCTTCGAGCGAGCTTCGTACCAGTGTCGGACGAAGGCTCTACGAGCCTCGGCCGAGCTCCTGTGAAGTTATTATTTATTCAGCACCTGTGACATTTATTGCATTGACAGTATACTGTGTAAAGTTTGCAGGAGCAACGTCCCATTGATTGTTAAAGTTATGTTTACGAGAAAGGATAAAAATAGATAAAATCGTCCTTTTTGTCCTTTTGTTAAATCAACATTCGTTAATAAACAAAACCACTTTAAAAAGATGACGAGGTTTTAACTATATAAGGCCAAATGCCTAGATTTTGACCTCAACTGATTGAACGCACATGAAATTCTTTACTCTTGTCCCTTTAGGAGGTGTGTGGCCTTATTTCAGAAGATGGTATAATAAATTGACGTTTATACTTGTTCATCCTGGAATGAGGTTAACTTTTTTCTTAGGGTGCCCAAAAGAACGTCATGTGATAGATATTACTTACTAGTTGAAGTTTATATTGCATGGGTCTTTTTACCTCTGTCTACTTTGTTGACATTGAATGGCTTGTTTACCGGAAGATTCATACTATTTTAGACAGAAGTATACAGGCAAAGTTTTAGAACAATATATCTTATAAGCTTTGTTCAGGTATCCGTGTATAAAAAGATTTTGATATAATCATAATCATTATGTCTTGTTGTACGTTTTGGTTGAATGGTCTATAGTATAGATCGTGCGAGCATCGATAGATCGTCGACCGTAACTCGGGCCTGTTTAATGGTAGACCGAACCAAACAAAAAATAGTAACCCAATGAAGGGCGCACAAAACGATAAATCGTACAAGACGATAAAAATACCGCTCTACCCGGCGAGATCACTGAGACCCCATCAGGTAAGCATACCGGAGTACCGTGTGTCGAGCGAGCTTCGGCCGACTCCTGTCTGGTTGAAAAGGTGGTCGTTGTGTTAACCAGACGGTAGTGTAAATTTGTGGCTCTTGTGGTAGTATTTGAGTTGGATCCTTCACAGAATTCCTGTTTGTATCTCTATTTTATTCTGCCAGTCCGCTCCATTACTTTGCTTAAAAAAAATATAACGACAGGTCAAACATAAAAATTTGTTAAACTATTCATTTTTGGTGGATACACGGCCTTGCTTCTTCTGCGTGCCATGTTATAAGGACTTCATTATCATAGATGTATTGCCAAGCGATCGCCCGAGCCTCGCACAATGTGACGGCGACGATTTTCAAGGCAAAAATACGCGCGATCGTCGGTCGATCTCAAAATCGGCCGATCTTTCGGCGATTGACAAATACGGCCGAAGCTCGTCGACAATGTGACGGGGGCATTAGGGCGACCAACTCCCCTAGCATGCTATCTGTCTCCTTGGTCAATTTCTACTCTTTGCAGCCCCCTCTGAAGCCCGGTACGAGGCTAACATGCCAGGGGAGTACGTTAGGGCGACCAACTCCC